TTCCTCAGCCTATATAACTTAGCCTCTCCCCCTAGACCATGTGCAACTAGGGCCAACTGATTGGTTGAGAGATGTGACTGACTCTCCTGCCACTCTTTACTTTTGGGGAGTAGCAGTCGGCAAGCTCATCTGTGATGATCCTAGGTTGGGGCACAATCAAACTTGGAAAGAATGGCATCTGTCCAACATCTTTCTGTTGGAAGACAGTCCTATACAATAGATGTTGAACTTTTTTTTCTTTGGTCTTTTTAAACAGGGTCTTCCTGTAGCCCCAGCTGGCCTGGAACTCACTATGTAGATCAGGCTGGCCTCAGAGATCCACCCGCCTCTGCCTCCCGAGTGCTGGGATTAATAGTGTGTGCCACCATGCCTGGCTTGATGTCAAACATTTTTAAAGTGTTTCTCAGTCATTTGTATTTCTTCCTTTGAGAACTTTGTTTAGTTCTATGCCCTGTTTTTAAATTCAGTTAGGTTTTTTTATGTTTAGTTTTTTTTAGTTCTTTGTATATTCTAGATATTAACTGTCAGATGTATAGCTGAAAAAGATTTTTTCCCATTCTGTACACTGCCTCTTTTGCTGTACAGAAACTTTGTAGTTTCATGTGTGATGCTGAGAGGGACATCTATATTATATTCATCCCCCAAAGCTCGGGAATCTTTGTGAAAGAGAGGGTGGAAAGATTGTAAAAGCCAAAGGTGGTGCGAAGGTATAAGGAAACAGTGTTTTCCAGGTAGCAGGGCAGTGGCACATAGGAACTCACAGCAATTGTGACAACACACACAAGAAATGCCCAAGCTCAACCCTGACAGAATTTCAGCATGAAGGGGGAAGTTGGCATGAAGTCCCACTTATAACTAAGGAGCTATTGGCATAGGATAGCTGCTGGGCGAGGAAGTGTGGGCTTTATTTCAGGGTGTGGCTCCTGGTAGGTCAACCATGCCCCAGGGCTGGTTCCAGAGTTGAGTATTTGGGCAATTTGCACAAATTGGACTCCATGGGGCAGGGAGAGGGGAAGAACAGGAAGATGGGTGGGTAGAGATGGAGATGGATCTGGGAGGAGTTAAGAGGGGAGAATATGATCAAAACACATTGGATGAAACTCTCAGAGGATTAATTAAAACAAAACAACAACCTAACCACAAAGATTTAAAGAACATTAGCAACTACTGGCCAAAAGGAGTCAGGGGGCCAATTTGACCTCCCGCACCAAACAATAAAACCAACAAAATATATGGGAAAAATAGGGCACTACTTTTTATTTTTTTTTTTTGGCAGAAAGCAGAGATTTACTTAAATGTGGCTACATTAGGAAGAACAAGCAAACAAACATTAAAGGAGTCCAGCAACCACAAGTCCATCTTCAAGGGTGACATAAGCTTTAGGTTTAAGTAGAGAAGGAACTGAGGTTGGGGTAAAGAGGCATGCGTAACTCAGTATTCTTGGACAAGGTGTAGTCTGGTAGATCATTTCACAAGTCTTGCTTGTCTTCTTAAATCCTTAACAACTAGAACTTTCAGATACAATCAGGCCAAAATGCCTGAAGTTCCTGTGCACGACTGAGTTGGATAATGACTCTATTTGCCAGACAGTGGAACCTTAGACATCAATATTTTGAGAGATTTGGAAAATTTCTGTCATGGTAACAGTAAACAGCCCGAATTACCATACATCCAAGTTTTCTTTGATCTCTGTGCTAATCCCTCCCTCTGTGTCCCATGTTCTTCCTATCAGGTTCTTCTGGCTAAGTCAGTTTCATGGGATCCCAACCCACCAGGGGCCTCCGCCCCTCCTCCTCCTCCCTACCCCTCCACCTCAGCTTTTGATCCTACCATAGCCGATGAACTGCATCCAATTAGGACCCATCCCCAGCCTCCTCCTGCTCCCCAGCCTGAGGCACAGCCAAGTCCTCAAATCTGAGTTGAGAGTCCAGGAAAATCAAGGTGGGCCTAGTTCATGGCACAGAGTAATTAGAAGGCAAGAGGCACAAAGAAAAAGAACTCTGGACCATGGAGGGAGACAGCTTGAGTATTCAGCAGAGTACTGAGCAGTGCATTGTGGGAGGAAACTACTGAAGGCCAGGAAAAGAACTGCCAACCAAGTTATAAAGAAAAATAATTGAATTTGGTACATGTTTAGGAATACTGCCTGTTCCCACAAGCTGGACTAGAAAACTAAAGACTCGTGGGCCACCAGGCACTCAGAAAGGGCATGTCTTAGCACTTATGAATAATGAGCTCGAGACTAAAGGTTACTTTGTGGTCCCACCTCACAACATCTTAAGATTTAGACCCCAAATGCTGAGATAACCTTTTGAGTAACACAGCCACACCTGGAATGTGCTCAAATATATTTATGGGAATATCAAAATCTATAATGCCCTCAAATCAAAATTTACAGTGTCTAGAATAAGAAAAGACACATGTCGTCCAATACATGAAAGTGTCCCTCTGATATTGTGCAGGTGTTTCAAGGCTGGGTCATCATCTTCCTTTACTGGCTACTGAACATGTCCACATTTCTAGAGGCAGTAACTCAGAACTCCAGGACTCCTTTGGGATTCCATTCCTGTCTGTAATGTCCTCCATGATCCCTGTGCTGCTCTGACTCTGCATCTTCAGCTCCACATCACCAAGGGTGAATTCTTCTCTTGTCAAACAGAGGCTGCCATAGTGCTGAATACTTCTGCTCCGGGTTCTGAATTTCAGAGATCTTGGCTTCTCTGTGTGCACATCTCACCTGAAGCTGCTCTGAGCAGTAGTTCTTGTGACTGCTCTTGGTAAAGTCTTCAAGTAGGGCTGGAGACATGACACTGGTTAAGAGTGCATGCTACTCTCGCAGAGGACCCAAGTTCTGCTTCCATCACCCATCACTGGGTGGCTTACAGTCACCTGTAACTCCAAGGTGATCTGTCACCCTCTTACGACCTCCTCAGGCACCCGCACACACGTGCACACATATACGTATAGACACAATCACACACGTGGACAAATAATATAATTTTTAAACTTTTTTTTATGTGTTTGAGTATATTGCCTGCATGTGTGTAAGTGCGCCCATGTTGTTCAGTGCCCAAGGAGAATAGAAGAGGGAGTCCAATTACCCATGTGGTTGCTGGGATTTGAACCCAGGTCTTCTGCCAGAACAGCCAGTGCTCCTTAACTGCTAAGCCATCTCTCTAGTTCATAATATAATAATTAAAAAAAAAAAAACTCTCCACGTAGCTAGGAGGAGTGTGAGAAATGCTGCCACGTGGTTCCTGTCAGACTGGAACCATGAGCTTTTCTGTTACTTGCATTTTGAGCAGGTTCCACAGAATCTGTAGAAACTTATCTGAAAACCGTCATCTGCCAGCTGAGCACTTTCGCCCCTGGAACCTGTAGAACCCCAGGATTCATGCTGCCTCACCTAGAGGAAGTGTTTGAAGGCAGAGGCTTTTGCTAGGCTGTCAACCACCCATGGTCTCTTGACTTGAGGTTCTGGCTACAGCAGTGGCTGGAGGTATGGGCTGGGGTGTGCCCTAGAGAAGAGAGGACTCACTTTGCTGCTGCAGGCACCCATACCTGCCCAGTCCCCTCCTGAGGGTCCACCCTGCTGTTACTCACCAGGTTGCTAGGTACCAGGCTTTTCTTATCTGCCCGTGCTACCTGCAACTGAGCAGGTTCCTTAGACAAAGATTTTTTTTAGTTGTCTCCAAAAAAGTACTTCAAGAAAAACAGAGTGCATCAGAAGCAAAAACATTAAGAACATTTGTTCATCAGAAAACACTTTATTAATGAAAAGACAAAGCTGCAGAGAAACGTTTGCTAAACACATCCCCAAGAGAAAGGCATTATATCCAGAGTGCAGAAAGCACACTTAAATTTCTGTAAGGCCAAATGTGGTGGCACACACCTTGGATCGCAGCACTTAGAGGCATGAAGATTTCTGTTAAGTTTGAGGCCAGCCTGGTCTACATAGGAAGTTCCAAGACAGCCAGGGCTACACAGTGAGAATATGTCTTAAAACATAACAGCAAAACCCCAAAACAAACAAACAAGAAACAAACTAAGAAGCCAGATGTGGAGGCAGGAGGAATTGTAACAAGTTCAAGGACAGATACCACCAGATAGGAGCTAGTAGAAAGGCAAAGTTGTTTTGTATTACAGGCTAGCCAGAAACTTCAAGTGTAGCTAAAGATAACCTTGACTTGGGATGATAGGATGTGCCACCATGCCTAGCTTATGCAGTGCTGGGGATCAAACCCAAGGCTTTATGCATGCTAGGCAAATACTCTACCAACCGAGATACAGCCCCTGCCCAGGCAAACATTTTTTAAAAACTGACATATAAGGATCAGGTGAATGAAGCAATTGTACTCACATACACAGCTGGTGAAATATGTTAAGGATTATGCTAAATGAAAGAAAAGACAGATACCAAAGGCCAAACACTCGTTTATGAGATGTTCTGGAAAAGGTAAAATTATAGGGACAGAAATAAGATTGGTAGATTACAGGGGCCGATGGTGGGAGGAATAATTTGATGACAAAGGCATGAGAGGGGCCTTTTGGAAGTGGCAGATGTTCTATATCAACAATGTAACTGTTTAGATAACTGTGCAAGCTATCAAACTGTGTACTTGAATTAATTGCATGAAAATTATGTTTCAATAATTCTGACTCAAGAAATGAATAAGACAAACCTTAAAAAATATAAAATAGAGCAAACTTTTAAAACTTAAATACAATGAACCTTAAAGAAAAATATGGCTGGAAAGATGACTCACTGGATAAAAGCCCTTGCTACTGAAGCAAGTTTTGTCTCTGGGATTTACATAAAAGGAGAGAGCCATCTTCCTAAATTTGTCCTCTGATTTCTATACTTGCACCATGGTACTTGTGCCCACACTCACACACACATATCACACACACTCTCTCTCCTTCTCTCTCAAAATAATAGTAAAGATTTAAAAAAATCTAAGTGAAATTATTCTAAGGAAAAAAAAAAAAAAAACCCTTACAGATGTTCCAGGTCCAGAACCATCATGAGGATGTTCTCAACTGTTGTAAGTTGTACTTGTGTTGTTCCCCGGTCTCTGAAGGAGAAAGCCAGACATTCATGAGGAACCCCAATACAAATAGTCTTGCCTTCAAAAAACATTTTCATCACATGCGGTTTCTTATATTTTAGTTTTCCGATAAAACAATCTGGCTCAAGAATTTATTGTCTGAGGTGGAGAGATGTCTCAATGGTTAAGAGAGCTTGAGGTTTACAGTGGCTCTGAGTTTACTTCCCATACCCATGTTGGGTGGCTTGCAACCTTATATAACTCAATCTCCAGAGCATCTGCCATCCTCTTCTGACCTCCTAAGTCACCTCCACATACATGTGCATAGACACAAAAAAACATAAAAAATAAAAATCCTTTTAAAAGATTTTATTGTCATATTTTATTTCACAAACCTGTTATTGAAAAATTTAAGATTACTATTCACAATATCAAATTAAAGAACTTGGCACTTAATAGAACCTATTTTTTTCCCCAATTATCACTTAGCATTTTTTCTTTCTTTTATTTTTATTTTTTATTTTTTTGAGAGAGGGTCTCATTATGTAGCCCTGGATGGCCTGGAACTCACTGTATATAGAGCAGGCTGGCCTTGAACTTACACAGATCCACCAGCCTTTTCCTCTAGAATACTGGAGTTACAGATGGTTGTTAGCCATCACGTGGGTGCTGGGATTTGAACCCAGGTCTTCTGCAAGAGCAGCCGGTACTCTTAACCACTCAGCCATCATCTCTCCAGCCCCAGCTTTTTTTAACTTTAGTTTTTTTGAGACAAGATCTCACTCACTATGTAACCTTGACTGGCACTGACTTGAACTTGCTATGTAAACCAGGCTGACCTCAAACTTTTAGAGGTCCACCTGCCTCTGCTTCCAGAGTGCTGGGATTAAATGTGTGTACCACCATGCCCAGCTCTCTTTTATTAAAAAATATTTATTTATTTTTATTTTATGTGTATGAATGTTTTGCCTGTATGTAAGTGAGTGCACCCATGTTATACAATTCCCATGGAGGTCAGAAGAAGGCATCAAGGCTTTGTATACCCTGGAACTGGAGTTCTAAGCAGTTGTTAGCTACCATGTCGGTCCTGGGAACTGAACCCAGGTCCTCTACAAGAGCAGCACATACTGTGAACTGTGGTGTGCACTACCAAATTTGTCAAAAAATAAATGAACAAAGGTAATATACACCTACGCCCCTTTGCTTTATAGGATGATATTCCTAGATGTGTTTATGTGTCCATTTCTATGTTTTTCAACACTATTTCTTCATCCATGAATGTCTTTTTTTTTTTTTTTTTTTTTTTTGAGACAGGGTCTCCCTGTAGCCTCAGCTGTCCTGAAACTCACTAGGTAGACCAGGCTGGCCTCGAACTCACAGAGATCCACCTGCCTCTGCCTCACACTGGGATTAAAAGCATGTGCCACCATGTCTGGCCTTCCCCCATGAATGTCTTATCCATTGTATTCTTTCTTATTCTTTATATATATATATAATTCATTTATTTGTGTGTGTGTGTGTGTGTGTGTGTGTGTGTGCGCACACATGCCATGGTGTGTGTGTGGAGGTAAGAGGATGAACTGTAGGAGTTGGTTCTCTCCTTCCACTATATAGATCCAGGGGATTAAACTCAGGTTTTCAGACTTGGTAACAAGCCCCTTTACTTGATAAACTACTTTATTGTCCCCCAACCTTTTCTTTGTCACTTTCCCCCCAATAATTTAAAATAAAACTGTGGCTTTTTAATCCTTAAGGAAAAATATCCTCTGATGAAAATAAAGGCAGAAAAAAATCTCACGAATCAAAAGATTATCACGATACTTACAGATGTTTTAATGCTGGCAACTTAAATAAGTAAGGATCTTCAACAACTGTCAGAGGATTACGGCTGAGAATTCTAAAAAAATACAATGGTTTGAAATTATCGGCATTTTTGATGTGTATGATAATACTTGAGAATGTTTAGACTCATTTATTCAGTATTTTACCCACAAACTACCCTTAGGATTCATAAACGTACCTTTTTTTTTTGGAACTATCCACAAGTATAGAAAATAGAAAGGAATAGAGGGGAAGATATAGGAAAAAAGTAGATTGCAAAGAAAACTATGCCAAAGAATTTTTAGGTCAAAAATCCTAATAGCAAGCACACTGGCAGTAAGCCCTTACCCTGTAGGAAATATTTTTAGTGTTTCCCATAATTCAAGGTGCTTGTCCACTTTTAGATAATAGAAAATATAAAATAACTCACAGTTAATTCACTCAGTTAAGGGAAAAAAAAAAGGACCATTTCCCTGGCTTTAAAGCCAAAGAAAAATGATGCCAGAGGAGTAACTGGATGCGATCATGCTCCATCACATACTCTCATGTGGGTTCATGACCAACACAGTGTGAGTGAGGGTGCATGTAATCATCTGTCAGTCTCATGGATCATGAGCTCCTGAGGGCAGGGACCACACCTTACTGTTACTGTTCCCTGTACCTGGCAGAATGCCTGAAATTACCTTGGTATTTAACAAGTATTTGTTAGATAAATAAACAACATTGTTTATATTTCCATAAAAATGAATAAATTCTCTCTCTTGACACAGGGCTTTGTTATGTTGCCCAGGCAACAAACAAAACAAAACAAAACAAAACCCAAGAGAATTGAAGGGAAACAGAAGAACAGAAAATATGCCTTTAGGTAACCGTACTCAAGAATCAGTGTAGGTCTACAGAACACATTAATAATGACTTCAGCTAATAGCTTTTGTGCTGGGGAAGGGAAGGGGCTTATGAGTCCCCACCCGTAACTGAGGAGCTACAGACAGTTGACTGCATCTTGGAGAGGAAGAATCAGTTTTCTTTAAGGGTATGACTTCTGGTAGGCTGACCACACTCCAGAGGATAGCCCCATACCCAGGAGCATATGGGCAACACAAATTGGACTAGATTTTCTTTTTTTAAAGAGGACAAGCCAGGCATGATGGCATGGCACACACCTTTAATACCAGAACTTGGGAGACAGAAGCAGGCAGATATCTGTGTGCTTGAGGCCAGGCTTGTCTATCTAGCAAGTTCTGGTGCTACTTAGTGAGATCCTGTCTCAAATAAACAAAAAAACAAAAAACATAACAAAATCCCCATCCACCCTAAAAAAGAACATGTGAAATTTGGGGGAAGAGTTAGGGAGGTGGCAGTGGATCTGGGAGGAGTTGGGGAGGAATGAGGGATGAATATCATTGAACTACATTATATGAAATTCTCACCTAAAGAATAAAAATATTATATTAAAACTCTACTGTGTTGCCAGGCACCTGTGAGCATCATTTCACATTTCATCCTAACAATAACTAATAACTGGTAGGAGTTACCATTTCTCCATTTTACAAATGAGGAAACCAAGGCACCAGAGGTTACATAATTTGTCATTTCTTTTTCTTTCTTTCCTTTTTTTTTGGTCATTTTGAGACAGGGTCTCCCTGTAGCCCCAGCTGGCCTGGAACTCACTGTGTAGAGCAGGCTGGCATCAAACTCAGAGAGATCCACCTGCCTCTGCCTCCCAAGTGCTGGGATTAAAGGTGTGTGCCACCACACTCGGCATAACCTTAATTTTGAGAGGGCTTCTTTAATAAATTCTATTTCCTTTCTTCAAGTGTATTCATTGTACCAAGTAATGGCTTAGAAATAACTTTTCTTTCTTTCTTTCTTTCTTTCTTTCTTTCTTTCTTTCTTCTTTCTTTCTTTTATTTTTGTTCTTAGAGACAGGGTCTCATTGTAGCCCAGACTGGCCTCAAACTCAAACTCTACATTTTCCTCCCAAGTGCAGGGATTACAGACGTAGGCACTATCACAATTGGCTGAGAAATAATGTTTAAATGTAATGTGCTCATCTCAGAAAGCCTCTATGAGAATTATAGTTTTCTGTTCCTTAATCATTTCCCATGATTGCTATCTAATTCACCCATGGTTACTGAGCCTTTAGAGATTTAAAACCATGACAACACAGTGACAGCAATGAAAATGGTGGTGTAAGGACATCATAATTCATCTCTCTGTAAAACAACTGCCAAAAAATTACTGAGAATCGCCTTTTTCAGAACTCTGGAATTTAACCAAAGGCTTGCCACACTCCAGAGGTATTTATTCAAGAAAGCAATTCAATTTCTTTAAGAACAGATTTGTGTCATTTTGACTTACCCTAGATCATTTCTCACTTTCTAGCTCAGTGGTAAACCTTAAAAAAACAGCCCACAGCCCCACTACTAGAGGAAGCAGAAGGAAGCTAGAACTCCTTCAAAGCCTCATTCCCAGTGAATTGGTTGGGTCCCTAGGGAGACCTCACTAGAAGGACTTATCTTCATTTGCCCCAAGTGAGAGTTCTCTAGTGCTAAAACTTCACCTGCTTTCAAAAATAAAGATTTCGGGGCTGGAGAAATGACTCACTGGTTAAGAACACTGTTGTTCTTCCAGAGGACTTGGGTTTGATTCCCAGCACCCACAAAGCAGCTAACAACTGTCCATTAACTCTAGTTCCAAGTCATCCTTCACCCTCTTCTGGCCTTCATAGGCTTTGCATGACACAGGTGCTCTTACATGCATATAGGCAATACACTCATACACATAAAAATAATACAGTATTTTTAAAAAATTTAAAAAAGGAAAACCTGCTGGCTGTGGTGGTGCATGCCTTTAATCCCAGCACTCAGGAGGCAGAGACAGGCAGATCTTTGTGAGTTCGAGGCCAGCCTGGTCTACATAGTTAGTTCCAGGACAGCTGGGGCTACAAGGAGACCCTATCCCAAAAAGACAAAAAAAAAAAAAGGAAAAACTATTTTGAGCAACTGTTTAACTATGGCAGTTGCTGGAGGAAATGGATTATACTTGGAACCAAAATAGCATAAGCCATAAGCTTAACAAGAAAGCAAAGAAATAAGATGCTCATAGGAACTTGGAGATGCTCATAGGAAACAGGAAGACCACTAGCAGTCTGCCTGGAATTTGGATGACCATACACAGTGCAGACCTGAGCACAGGCAGAAAAGAACCTGAGAAGACCTTAAGAAGTTCACGCCTGGCTAACCTTGAGATTCTGCACAGGTAGCAGTGGAAGCTAGGGCAAGCTGTAGACTACCTCCAAAGGCACCTATGCTAAAATCCCAAGGCAGGAAGGGAAATTGTTCCTTGGAAGAAGGCAGTCGGAGAAATAGGACTGACCTAGAGTCTACACCAATGAGGTGAAATATGTGCAGGTGGAGGAGATCCTTTCTTGTCCTCATCTACGTAGGTCCATGAGCCTGACAGCATGCCTCCCCACTTGAAGCTCCTCAATATAGGGCTCTGGTTCACACCAGCAGTCCAAGGAAGTAGAAGGTGAGAATAGTCATGAGGAAGACTCCCTGGCCATGGAGAATAGGAAGAAGTAAGGCTGCTGGAGTCCAGACTCAAATTCTGGCTCTGCTACTTTCTACTGAAGTGTCCTTGAGGATTTGTGAGTTCCTTAGTAGCATTTTCCTCATCAGGCAGTCAGGATTGAATGAAAGAGTAAGTAAAAGGTTTTTTTTTTTAGAAGAGCCAGAGTCAGAGCAGGTGCTGTTCGGTAATGACTTCATATGTATACTGGTCAAGAGCCAGGAACCCTGGAGGTACTAGATGTGGTGTGGCCAGGAACTCTAGCAGTATGGATTTCTTAGAGGGAAATGGAACTTTCTGCTCTAAAGGTCCTATTAGTATTAGAAACCAAATTTATGATAGAATGCAATGCACAAAAAACTGAGTTGTCCTGAGCTTCTACTACAAAGGAGCAAAAGCTGCCCAGAAGACAACTTGCACAGCCTCCAAGTGATTCTGCCACTTGTTAATGATGTGAACCTAGGCAAATTATCCAACATCACTCAGTTTTGGCTTTCTCATCAAATTGGGGATGATAATGGTTTCATTTCAAGAGTTTCAGGAAAAGTGGAAATATGGTGACATGTTTGCATATTTACTTGTGCCCAACACTATTCTAGGAACTTTCAGCACATTAGCTTATTAGCTCATTTGTTTAAATACCTCATTAATATAGGTATTAAAATCTGCCATGGACAGAGGAAGAATTACTAAGCTTAGAAAAGAAGGTGCCTTTCTACATAGGTGGGAAGAATGAGATGCTGCAGCGAGAGTCTAGGAACTTTCAGCACATTAGCTTATTAGCTCATTTGTTTAAATACCTCATTAATATAGGTATTAAAATCTGCCATGGACAGAGGAAGAATTACTAAGCTTAGAAAAGAAGGTGCCTTTCTACATAGGTGGGAAGAATGAGATGCTGCAGCGAGAGTCTAGGAACTTTCAGCACATTAGCTTATTAGCTCATTTGTTTAAATACCTCATTAATATAGGTATTAAAATCTGCCATGGACAGAGGAAGAATTACTAAGCTTAGAAAAGAAGGTGCCTTTCTACATAGGTGGGAAGAATGAGATGCTGCAGCGAGAGGAAAGTACCGTGTCTGCTGGATGTGACAGTCTCAGAATTTCTGAACAATTACAATAAAAATAAAAACAAAGTATGTTATTTAGCAGCAATGATATCATGATGAATTACAACACGATGAAAAAAGCAAATTTTTCTGTTTTCAAATTCCTGGAATGCTACTTTAAAATTTTTAAATTCACTTTTACTTTATGTGTATGAGTATTTTGCTCCCATTTAAGTGCATTCATGAATATAATGTCCTTGGAAGTCGGAAAAGGGTATCAGATCCTATGGAACTGGATTTACAGAGGTTGTTAGTTACCATGTAGGTGTTGGAAACCAAACCTAGGTCCTCTGCAAGAGCAGCCAGTGCTTCCAACTTTCCAGTCACCTGGAATGTTAGTTTTTGAGATTCTCAGGAATTTTCAGAAATTTCAAAATCATGCTTGTTTTAAA